ATTATGAGATTAAACTACCGAAAAGACTAAGTAACATATCAATGATGTCAATGAATTGTTTTAAATGGAAGTGTGTGTTCCTCTGTAATAAGTTGACTTTTGATATTTTCATTCTTGTATTGACCTGAAGCCATTTAAATGGTGGCAGGTATCTGTAATGACAGGATAAAGAAATAATATGGCCTTCGTAGACTATAGCCTTTGTAGCATAATGAAATCCATACATTTTTGTGAGTGAATGTGTATGTACATGCATAAGATAATGTGTAAAGGATACTATTTTTTTTTTAGCAATTTTCTCTAGCAATAAGCATTTTGTGGTATTTTTCCATTTTATAATTCCATAAATTAATTTTAATTCCTTATTGAACATCAGTATTACCAAAGCAGTAAATTATGTACATTAGAATTTTGAAAAGTGCTATATAATAATCCCTTACAATTAAAGCCTCAAAATGCTATATCATTATATGGCACATAAGATCATAAGTAATGGATTCTGAAAGCCAATTATAAAAACAAAAATATTATCTGTCCAAATACGTGGGTAAATGGGTGAGTGTGAACAACATTATCTTTGCAATTAATGCCTACTACACTTTTTGTTGCTGTTGTTTTGAGACGGAGTCTCCCTCTGTTGCCCAGGCTGGAGTGCAGTGGCGCGATCTTGGCTCACTGCAACCTCCGCCTCCTGAGTTCAAGCGATTCTCCTGCCTCAGCCTCCTGAGTAGCTGGAATTACAGGGGCATGCCACCAACTAAGTTTTTTTTGTTTGTTTTGTTTGTTTGTTTGTTTGAGATGGAATCTCACTCTGTTGCCAGGCTGGAGTGGAGTAGTACAATCTCAGCTCACTGCATCCTCTGCCTCCTAGGTTCAAGCAATTCTCCTGCCTCAGCCTCCTGAGTAGCTGGAACTACAGGCGTGCGCCACCACGCCCAGCTAATTTTTGTATTTTTAGTAGAGACAGGGTTTCACCATGTTGGCCAGGATGGTCTCAATCTCTTGACCTTGTGATCTGCCCACCTCGGCCTCCCAAAGTGCTGGGATTACCGGCGTGAAACACCGCACCCAGCCTAAGTTTTGTATTTTTAGTAGAGACGGAGTTTCACCATGTTGGCCAGGCTGGTCTTGAGCTCCTGACCTCAAGTGATCTGCCCACCTCGGCCTCTCAAAGTGCCAGGATTACAGGCATGATCCGCTGTGCCCAGCCTCGCTTGCTACATCTTTTAAAGCAGTAATCCATAACACACAGAGAGAAAATCCTGGAAGTGAAAACAAAGTGGGATACATATGTTAGGGAAGTATGTTTAAAAAGGTTCACTGACGAAAAGGTGTGCATAAGGGGAGAATATACTGCAATCCACTTACTGGATGTGGAACAAGTAAGGTCAAAGGGTGGGTTTGAATGCCATTCCACATTCCTTGGACATGATGGTGATATTTTCAGTATAGTTGATTAAAGCATGGGTCCCTAACCCCTGGGCCACAGACCCTGTTGGGAACAGGGCCAGACAGCAGAAGGTGAGCAGTGGGCAAGTGAGCAAAGCTGAGTTCTGCCTTCTGTCAGATCAGTGGCATGAGCCCTATTGTGAACTGTGCTTGTGAAGGATCTAGGTTGCAGCCAGGCGCAGTGGCTCATGCCTGTATTCCCAGCACTTTGGGAGGCAGAGGCGGGCAGATCACCTGAGGTCAGGAGTTGGAAACCAGCCTGACCAATATAGTGAAACCCCATCTCTACTAAAAATACAAAAATTAGCCAGGCGTGGTGGCAGGTGCCTGTAATCCCAGCTACTCAGGAGGCTGAGGCAGGAGAATCACTTAAACCCAGGAGATGGAGGTTGCAGTGAACTGAGGTCATGCCATTGCACTCCAGCCTGGTCAACAAGAGTGAAATTCTGTTAAAAAAAAACAAAACAAAAAAAAACAAAAAACAAAAAAAAAAACTAAGTTGCTTGCTCCTTGTGAGAATAAAATGATAAATGTAATGTGCTTGAATCATCCCCAAACCATCCCCATCCCCCCCACCTCACCTTGTGGAAAAATATTGTCTTCTTCAAAGCTGGTCCCCTGTGCCAAAAAGGTTGAGAACTGCTGGATTAAAGGGCTTCACTCAATAAATTATATCTAACGGGGGAGACTTTTTTCCACTATTGATTTTCTTCAGTATACCTTCACTGGATGCTTGTTAGCCATTAAGGTCCATGCTACCTCAATTTGCATGGTGTGCTGAGGATTGGTAATACCACCTTCACATTCTTGTAATTCACTAGGAGGACTCAAGACACCCTATGTTATCATAGTCACTATGATTTATTATAGTAAAAGATATAAAGTAAGTTGAGCAAAGGGAAAATGTGCATGGGATGAAGTCCAGAAGAAATCAGGTACAAGCTTCCAATAATCCTCTTCCTGTGGAATCATTCATGATGTACTGTTTCTTCAGCATTGAATTGTAACATGTGAAGTGTCTACCCAGGACGCTCAATGGAGACTTAGTGCCCTAGGCACTACGTTGTGTTTTGTTTGTTTTGTTCTGGAACTGGTCACATAGGCCAGCTTGGGCCAAAATTCTAGATTCCCAGAAGGAATTCAGCATAAATCACATTATACAAATAGCTGGGGCATAGTGAGCCACTCTTATCAGGGAATTCTGGAAATCCTCCTGAAATTCAAGTTCCTGGACACCAGTCAAGGGCTAACCTTGTATCTTGTGCTGCTATAACAGAATACCACAGATTAGGTAATTTATAAACAATATAAATTTATCTGTCACAGTGCTTGAGGCTGGGAAGTCCATGGTGAAGATGCTGGCAGGTTTAATGTCTGGTGAGGGCTGCTGCTTTCTGCTTCCAATATGGCATCTAGTTGCTGCATCTTCTGGAGGAGACAGATTCTATGTCCTCATATGGTGGGAGCAACGAAAGAGCAAGAAGGGATTAAGTTTTAACAAGGGAACACCATCAAACTATAGCCTGTTGCAAGCAGGCCTTTTAAGTATAACAGTCTCAGGCCTATGTTAACTCTTTTCTGAACACAGGGCTTCAGAAATCCAGTACCTATATTCTTTTCTTTTTCTTTCTTTGTATGACCAGATACTACATTAGATCATCTTTCTTTTCTTTTTTTTTTTTGAGACGGAGTCTGGCTCTGTCGCCCAGGCTGGAGTGCAGTGGCCGGATCTCAGCTCACTGCAAGCTCCGCCTCCCGGGTTCATGCCATTCTCCTGCCTCAGCCTCCTGAGTAACTGGGACTACAGGCGCCGCCACCACGCCCGGCTAATTTTTTGCATTTTTAGTAGAGACGGGGTTTCACAGTGTTGGCCAGGATGGTCTCGATCTCCTGACGTTGTGATCCGCCCGTCTCGGCCTCCCAAAGTGCTGGGATTACAGGCGTGAGCCACCGCGCCCGGCCCTAGATCATCTTTCTTCAAGGTAATTTGTAACCCAAACTAGTAGACTAAACCAAATAATTTGTTGCCCCTCCCCCCCATAACTGATGACTGTAGGTACAGTCTACATCTACCTTCCTTGTGACCTGAGTCTTCAGGTTAGTCACAAGATAGCTGTAGAAACTGGGAGCTATCTGGCTTTGTTTTTGGTTGGTGGTTGTTTGTTCACAGTCAAGAGGAGAGAACTGTCTCATTTGTAGTATTGTATAGTTCATGTCTCCCAAAATGCATGGCTACTCTAACTCCCATCCACACTCAAGATTAGCTCCTTAGCTCTTACCTAGTATGCCCAGCCCTTGTGGGATAATTAAGTTTTGCCATCTGTGGGCTTGACTTTCCTGTTCATCTTTGGTCCTTGGGATTTCCCTGTCTTAGCTTTGAGTTTAGCTACATTTTAATACTTTAGGGGATATTGTCACATAACATTTTTGTGTCTTTGAAAAGATCCACAATACTGTGCAATGATTACCACTATATAATCCTAGAACTCTTTCATCTGCTCCCAAAAGAAACCCCCTACATGAGCTGGGTGTGGTGGTGCATGCCTGGAGTCTCAGCTACTCAGGGGGCTGAGGGGGGAGGATCACTTGAGCCCAGGAATTTAAGGCTGCAGTGTGCTATGATCATGCCTGTGAATAGCCACTGTACTTCATTCTGGGAAACATAACAAGATGCTGTCTCTAAAAAAGTAAGGGAAAAAAAAAAAAACCCTACGTATTAACAGTCACTCCCCATTCCCAACTACATCTCCCCAGGACTGGAAACAACTAATTTGCTTTCTGTCTCTATGGATTTGCCTATTCTGCACATTTGATACAAATGGCATCATACCACATATGGTTTCTTGTGTCTGGCTTCTTTCATTTGGCATAATGTCATCAGAGTTCATCTATGTTGTAACATGACTCAATATCTTGTTCATTCACATTACTAAATATTGCATTATATGGATAGACCACATTTTGTTTATCCACTCATCAGTTGATGGACATTGGGTCGTATCCACTTTTTGACTATTATGACTAATGCTGCTATGAACTTTTTTAGAACAAGTTTTTGTGTGGACATGTTTCAGTTCTCTTGGGTATTTACTTAGGAGTGGAATTGCTGGCACATAAGCCCAAGATTGGGTGCCAGCAGATTCAGTGTCTGGTGAGGTCCTGCTTTCTAAGTCATACATGGTCCTTCTGGCTGTGTCCTCACATAACTAAAGAGGCAAAGGAGCTCCCCCAGGCCACCTCTAAGAGAGCATTAATCCTAGTCATGAGGGCATTGCCGTTTTGATCTGATCACTTCCCATAGGTTCCACCTCCTAATATCATCATCTTGGGAGTTAGGATTTCAACATATGAATTTGGTGGGGGCCATAAAACACTCAGACTATAATAATACCTAAAGAGAAGTGAGGGATTCTGGGAAATGAAAACCAGGAGCTCAAGGTAGTTGAGTACTACCACATCAGAAGGTACTTCCACATCAGGTACTTCCACATCAGAAGGCTTGGACATTCCGGAAGTGTGGTCCAGGAGGGCGGTACTGTTCTGTTTTTCCCCCAACTCTAGCATTCTGTGATATGTAGTCCGGAGCTCCGTGTACTCGCACATACCTCAGCTACAGTAAGGCTGTAAACATTTCCCCTGGAATCCTGGGAACTACAGTCCAATCGTTCCAGGTAGTTGTAGGCACTTCCGGCTCGAGGAAGGCAGTGCTGTGGAATTCTGGGAAGTGTAGTCCCGGTGCTCTTGATAATTGCAGGCACTTCCGCCCAGGAAGACGACGTAGCAGCCATCTTTTCCATGGCTCTGGTGATTCAGGTCAGCTTCTCAGGAACCTTTCAGACTTCCCCGAAATGCGCTTGTGTCAACAACTAGCGGTCTTTTGTTTGGAGAAAAAAAGGAGTAGCGGCGAAGAACGGAGGTTTGAGGGGCTAGGATGCTCTTTTGCGTTTCCCTCGACGGAGCTTGTTTGCATTGGGGGCGTAGTGGCTTCGTGCGGTTGGGGTGATGCTTCGTCGGGTTTGAAGGTCTCTCGGGCTGTTCGCTCCCTCATTGTGACTCCCCCACCTGATGAGCCAGCCGTACCACTTCATACAGTATCACACTGAGCGAGTTAATCCCCGTGCCTTCGTTTGCTGTTCTGAAGGAAAATAAAAGCCATACCTTCCTAATGTTTTGAGAGAAAACGAGGTAGTACAAAAAGTTTAAAACTACCTGGCACGTGAATTACCAATACTACTAAAATTTCCCTAGAAACTCCCATTTTGTAGTGAACTCCTGTGAGCCCATGAAGCTGGATTGTCCCTGACCTCTTTTTAGGAAGGAGAGGGTTGCTTCTAACTGGTACTGGGAGATGCCACTGTGATGTATCGGGGATGGAGACACAATCCTAGTTATTTCCCTTTTTCTTCTCCAGCCCTGACTTCTCAAAAAGCACTGCACAGAGGAGGAGGCAGCAGAACCCCATGTGAGTAAGACTTGTTATTATTCTTGTTTTATTTTCGTAAATCAGAGAATGTGTGGGTCATGTATTTGGGCATGAGAAGTGATTATAATTTAGCGTTAGTTGCTAAGTTCCATTCTAAGGGATTTATACGAATGAACACGTTTCCACTATACAGTGGCTTTGTGAAGTGATGCTCTTTTTTCCGAGGAAACTGGGACATAAGAACATAACTTGTTTGCTGATAGCCACCCAGCTAGTAGGAGGCAGAGCTAGCGTTGAAACCGAGACAGTCTGAGTCTAGACCTGAGTTTTCTTTGGTATGTTCTCTATGAGCCATAGGCAACTGGCTAGTATCATGTGAAAATAGGTTGGGACTTCACTCAAGGTTTGGGCTATTCTGTTAGTTTTAAAAAATAGTGGCTGGGCGTGCTCGCTCATGCCTGTAATCCCAGCACTTTGGGAGACTGAGGCGGGCAGACCACTTGAGGCCAGGAGTTTGAGACCAGTTTGGCCAGCATGGCGAAACCCCATCTCTACTAAAAATAAAAAATTAGCCAGGCGTGGTGGCAAATGCCTGTAATCCCAGTAGCTTGGGAGGCTGGGACAGGCGAATCACTTGAACCGGGGAGGCAAGGTTGCTGTGAGCTGAGATCACACTGCTGCACTCCAGCCTGGGCAACTGAGCAAGACTCTCTCAAGAAAAAAGAGTTTTTAAAAATAGTTTTCTTGGCTGGGTACGGTGGCTCACACCTGTAATCCCAGCACTTTGGGAGGCCGACGCGGAGGGATCACGAGGTCAGGAGATCGAGACCATCCTGGCTAACACAGTGAAACCCTGTCTCTACTAAAAATAAAAAAAATAAAAAAATTAGCCAGGCGTGGTGGCGAGCGCCTGTAGTCCCAGCTACTCAGGAGGCTGAGGCAGAAGAATGGCGTGAACCCAGGAGGCAGAGCTAGAAGTGAGCCGAGATCCGGCCACTGCACTCCAGCCTGGGCAACAGAGCGAGACTCCGTCTCCAAAAAAAAAAAAAAATAGTTTTCTCAATTATTAGTTTTATTTGTTTCAAATAACAGAGGTAACACAAATGCAAATACAGAAATATATTTTAAAAATGTAAATTCACCATGATCTTAGGGTATAAAGATAACTATAGTTTTAGTGCCTTTCTGTCAAGTTTTTCTTGTATATATTTCTGTTTATTAGGGGGTTTTTTGCGGGCGGAACTGAGTACAATGCAACACTACTCAAACTGTGGTCCACAAATCAGCAACATTGGCATCATCCATTCTTTAGCCCTACCCAAGACCTTCTGATTTAGCATTTTTGCAGCTAGGACCCAGAAATCTGTATTTCAGCAAGATCCCAAGGCGATTAAGATGCAGGTTAAAGTTTGAGAAGCTCAGGAAAAGGTCTTGTCTGGAAACTCAGGACTAGAAAACTGACCCTGCCAGATGTCATAGATAAAACTGAGCTGGCCATACAAGAACTCTACTCAGTCCAGTGATTTTTCTTTCCCACTAAATATTAATTATCAAGTTTCTTTGCAAAAACCATGACATGAGTAGAAGGCAGCTGGCAAGTCTAGAGTCACAATGGAGGGACCTAGTGTCCTGAAGATCTATTTCTCCTAGGCTTTGGGGAGTAGATTCCTTGCCGTCTTTTGTTCTGGGGGCCTTCTGTCTGAAGTGGGAAGATCAGCTACCTAGTTATTGTTAATTTAACGTTTGATATTATTGCCATAGTTGTCATCATCATCGTGTCATCATTACTATTGTGATTAATGACTATTTCCTAATTTAACTGGTTTTTTTTTTTTTTATGAGTTGGAGGCAGAGGGTTTCACATTTGTTGCCCAGGCTGGAGTGCAATGGCATGATCTTGGCTCACTGCAACCTCCGCCTCCCAGGTTCAGGTGGTTCTCCTGCCTCAGCCTCCTGAACAGCTGGGATTACAGGCGTCCGCCACTATGCCCGGCTAATTTTTTTTGTATTTTTAGTAGCGATGGGGTTTCTCCGTGTTGGCGAGGCTGGTCTCAAACTCCTGACCTCAGGTGATCCAACCACCTCGGCCTCCCAAAGTATTGGGATTATGGGCATGAGCCACCACGCCCAGCCAACTTTTTTTTTTTTTAAATATAATTTCAAACTTATAGAAAAGCTGCAAAAATAATAGTATAAGGAAATCTCATATCCTCTTCACCCAGATTCATCAGTTGTTTATGTTTTGCCTGTTTGCTCTGTTAATGACCATCATCAGCCAGATATCACCAGGAACATACCTGTAACTGAAGACAGTTAAGTTTGTTTTGGCTTGCTGCATCCAAGGAGCCCACACATGCATGGGGTGTCTTGGTAGGAGGCAATTAGGAGGGGCCTGGTTATAGGGTTTTGGTTTATGTTGAGTTAGGGAGCGTTTTAGGCAATGGGTTTGTTCTGGATTGGATGCTGTCAAGAAACAGCAGCAATTTGATCAGACTATTTTAATTTTTATGTAGGAGGTGGGGAAATAACGAGACTGGAGTTATTACTAATAACAAAGTGGTCATGTTAGATGGAAGAGGCAATTATTTGGCTATTTTTGTCATTGTAGAATGTATTTCTCTGTGTGTTATAAGCTGTCTTGTTTTTTTCTTTTTCACCATGATCACTGAGTAGTCCTGTCTCATTCTTGTTGACAAATTGAAAACACCAGGTTCTGGCTGTTGCTGCTGTTAGTTGTCAAAGCAGTTGTTTTTGTTTTTGTTTTTGTTTTGTCTTTTTGCTTTCACAGCTTTGTCATACTTACATTTTGTTTTTGTCTTTTTGCTGAAGCATTTGAGAGCAAACTAGAGATAGTGATCAAAATGAAATTAGTTACATTGCTAACTTACTGTTATCCACAGTTTGTATTTAAATTTATTCCATTTTCCCATTAAAAACTTTGAAAGTCATTTCTTCCCCCAGGTGAGTTTCCTGTCTATTTGTATGCATTGCCCCGTTTTGTTTCATTAGTCATCTTTAGTCTAGAATGATTCCTCAGACTTTCTTTTTTGCTCTTGATATCTTTGTAGAGTATTGAGAAATTATTTTGTAAAATGCTCTCATTTTTTTGTTTCCTTAATATTTATTCATGATTAAATTCAAGCTATGCATTGTCAGCAGAGATGCCTTCTCAGTGCATCATAGGAGAAGTCAATTGTTGGTTTGTGGGTTTGTCCCACTAGTGGTCTCAACTTTGTTTTTTTGGATAAAATGTCTGCCAGGTTACCTTTTTCCTTTTGCACTTAATACTTTGAGTGCAACTATGAGACTCAAAGCCAACTTATTCCTCACCAAACTTTCACCAGTTTTTAGCATCTGTTGACGATGTTCTAGTTATCTTTCATTCTACCTTTATTAGTTTATGTGTTTTACTATAGGAGCTTTCTCTTGTCACCCGTTTATTTATTACACATTCTTTTATTTGTAACAATATAGAGTAATGTTCCTCCCGTTTCTTTTTTTTGAGACAGTCTCACTCAGTTGCCCAGGCTGGAGTGCAGTGGGACAATCTCAGCTCACTGCAACCTCTGCCTCCTAGGTTCAAGCAATTCTCATGCCTCAGCTTCCCAAGTAGCTGGGATTACAGGCGCCTGCCACTATGTCCAGCTAATTTTTGTCTTTTTAGTAAAGACAGGGTTTCATCATGTTGGCCAGGCTTGTCTTCAACTCCTGACTGTAAGTGATCTGTTTGTCTCGGTTTCCCAAAGTGCTAGTAGGATTACAGGCGTGAGCCACTGTGCCTGGCCAGGTTCCGGCCTTTTTAATTTAAGTTAGGTGTGGATTGTCAAACTGTGTTTTTTAATTGCAGTATCTTAGGTTTTATTAGTTCAGTGTTAGCAAATTATTGGAAAGACAGAAGATGTTTTTCAGAAGTTGTAAGACAGTTTCACGTGACATAGCAACAACCTATGAACTCCAGCCATCTTATAATATTCTATTGGTGGAAATTATATTTTTAAGGATAATTTCAAACCATAGACTATCTTCTACTTATTGCAATTGCAAAGAAATAAGATACCTGACTGTGTTGTAAGAGCTTTCTACCTTCCAGCAATCCGATGAGGCTGATACTGTTGTTATTTGCCACTTGTAGATGACAGAAGTAAGGCAAAGAGATGTTAATAATTTCCCCAAGGTGACACTTCTAGTGAGTACCCTGTCAGGATTTAACCCTTGCATATGAATTCCAGAGCCTACTGTGCTTATATTGTCTCAATTTATACCATACTCAGAATAAGAATTGCTAGGGTGGAATGACAGGCACGTGGGCAGTGAGGCGACTGTGTGGTTAGCCTGGTTCTGAACTACTACTGAAAGGGGTAGATGGATATCTAGGATCCATGTCATAATCTGCTTAAAAGCCACATAAAGCTGCAGCCACCCCAAGAAGCACACACCTTTGCTAATTCCTAAAGAGCAGCCACGTGGATTAGCAACATACTTGCCCAGTTTTCATTTACTTCTCTCTTCTTTCCTCGTTCAGCTTCTTAGGACTCTGCACTTCCCCAGAAGGAAGAATTAAAAATGAATGTGTTCAAGGTGAGTAGAGCTTGCCTTTCCCACCTGTTAAAAATACCATTTTAGTACTTAGAGATGGGAACAGGTTTTTCTTTTTCAAGTAAGAGTCAAGGCATTTGAGGACCTGTTGAGTGTGCTAGATGCTTATTTTGTCCCATTTAAGTTTAGGTGGTTTTGGTTTTAGTTTTATTTCATCACTTTTATTTTACAAATAAAAGTAGAAAAATTAATTGAATGATGGGTGAACGCAGTGGCTCACACCTGTAATCCCAGCACTTTGGGAGGCTGAGGCAGCGGGTGGGATCACTTGAGGTCAGGAGTTTGAGACCAGCCTGGCCAACATGGTGAAACCCCGTCTTTACTGAAAATACAAAAAGTAGCCAGGTGTGGTGGCACACACTTGTAATCCCAGCTACTCAGTTGACTGAGGCAGGACAATCACTTAAATTTGGAAGGCAGAGGTTGCAGTGAGCCGAGATCGTGCCACTGTACTCCAGCCTGGCCAATAGAGCGAGACGTCGTCTCAAAAAAAAAAGAAAAAGGAAAAATTAATAGAAATGACAAATACCTTATTTCTGCAATCTCTTCATTGTATGTACTCGTAATTATATATTTGCATTCATAACATAGATATAATTTTACATTTCTTAAATTTAATATATAAGATTCATTTTTGTTGTATTTCTATCAAATTTATGTATCCAGTTTTTAAACTATTCTCTCTATATAGACATTTAGTTAGTGTAGAATTTTTACTGTTTTAGGAACTACAGTGTTAGTTTTCTTGCATTTAACTTTTTCTGAAAAAATCAGTTTTGAAAAATACTGCCTTTTAAAATCTGTAACGTTAGGTATTCAGAATTGAAAAGTTATGTTTTGTGTGTGGTATTTCAGATGTTTTTTGATAGAATATTCAAATACGGCACAGTGCGTCAAGATTTAACAACTGCTTCACACAGAAAAAATATTAGACTTTTTTTTACTCCAAGAGCTAGATTCTGTCTTCCCCATGCCTCAGCCATACCCTGTGTGTTTACTAGTCTTTTTCCCTTTGAATATTTTTTTAGTCAAAGTAATATGTGACCTTAATTTAAAATGCCTAGTGGTAGGAAAGGATTTGCCGAGCACTTACACTGTGCCCCTATATTGATACCTCACAGCAACTATGAGGAGGTTCTTTGTTTTGTCTTCATTTTAAACATAAATAGAAAAGGGATTGTGAAAAATGAGGAACTTGCTCAAGTTCACATGGAAAACTAAAGATCCGGGATCAGTATTATATTCAAGTGAAAGACCAAGACAGGAGGACAGAGAGAAAGAGTCTTTCATTCAGAAACCTGACATGCCCTTTACGTTTATTTCCACATGTAACACTGCTCACTTGGTTCCCACCTCAGTAGGAAGAGACAGGTGTTATCAAACACCGTTGGGACTAAATTGGTATACCTTTCTGGGGAAATTGGCAATGTTTTAGGTTCAGTAGGTAACAGTTCTAGGAAATTCCCTTATAAGAGTACTCACTGAGAGCATCCAGTAAACATACAAAGCTTTGTTTCTCATAGCAGCACTTTTGGTAAGTCAGTATATGGCATTGGCAAGACAGGAGAAGGGCTGGGAAATCTACAAACGGCTCGGCATCCAGAACAACTTTGCACCTGTTCTCTTCACCTTCTCAGTGTTACCCATCTTCCAGTGGACATTGGTTGTAAGATTGAGGTCATGTGTTTTTGTCGTAGGAAGCAGTGACCTTCAACGACATAGCTGTGGCCTTCACGGAGGAGGAGTTGGGGCTTCTGGGCCCTGCCCAGAGGAAGCTGTACCGAGATGTGATGGTGGAGAACTTTAGGAACCTGCTGTCAGTGGGTGAGGACAGCCTCCCTCTGGAGTATCTTTGTGACCTTGGAGTTTTAAGGCTTTGTGGCCCTTGAAATGGTTCCCTGAGTGTGGAAACCTGACTTTCCTAATTTTTATGGGATGCAGAGACACTGGATGTTTCTGGTCTTTCTGAACAGAATATTTTAGGTCTTTTTAATTTGTGTTTTATAGAAGAACTATAAATGAACAGAATACTGCTATGCTTTGTCTATTCTTTTTCATATTTTACACCTGTCCCATTATTGAATTATAAAACCAATTTATTGAATACCGTCAGCAGATTTCAATGAAATAAAATAGGGTAGAAAATATTAGAACTCAGGAAGAATGGCACACACTGCAGCAAAAACTCTTGCCAATTTCTTGACTGATGTGAGAACCAATGGGAGGAGATTTAATGAAAACAGACAGTAGTTAAAAATAGATTATTCAAACTTGGTTTTCATAATATGTATCTATGCGTGTGTGTCTGGGTCATGAAATAAATGGTGTTTCTTTACTGAGTCACAATTTAAATAAAAGTTTGAAAAACACTGCTTTCAGTGTCTTGAATATGCAGTTGCAACTTAGATTTCCAGTGTATTTTAACTCTAATATGTTCATTTTCAACTTGTGATTTGGCATTTTCACAGGGCATCAACCCTTCCAACAAGATGTATCACCTATAGAAAGAAATGAGCAGCTTTGGATAGTGACGACAGCAACCCAAAGACAGAGAAATTTAGGTAAAAACCAAACAGTTGTGAGTTCTTATAGTTAACTGTCCATCTGCTTTGCTTTTCGTCAGCCGTGTTGCCGTCACCTGGTCCAAATTGCCAAATCTCTTTCCTGGATTATTGCAACACCCTTCATACTGCTTGCCCTGCTCCCACCCCTCTCCTCTTACAGTCTGTTCTCTAAGTGACAGCCAAAGTGAGTTTTTGTTCCCTTGTGTCAGACTGTTGCTGTTCTGCTCAAAATTATCTCTAACTTACTTTACATAGAGTAAAATCCACTTAATGTGACTGACAGAGTCCTACGTGGTGTGCTCTTCATCCCCCACTACCTCTCTAAATATATCTCCTATACTCTGTCTCTTTCTGTGAATTCCAGCCACATTGTCCTCCCTCTTGCTTTTAAGACCTATCAAGGATGCTTCTGCCTCACAGCCCTGTGTGTGTTCTTCTCTCTGCCTGAAATAATCTTTCACCTATAAGCCTTCTGGTCTTTTCTTCATTCAGTTCTTTGCTCAGTTTTAGTATTATAAGAAAAGCCTCCTCTGACCACCCTATTAAAAACACAGTCTTTTCCTTTACTCTCTGTGCACTGCCTTATATTGTGTGTAAGTACTGATCATCACCTCATACATGCTTTTGTTTAGTGACTTACCACCTGTGTCTCCTCACTGGAGTGTAATCTCCAGGAGCGGAGGAATTTTATCTATTTGTTGCTGTCTCTTCAGTACTTAGAATAGTCCTGGTATATGGCAGAGACACTATAAATATTAGTCGAATAAATAAATGAGTTAATGGAAATCTGTCTTCCATGGAGCTAATAGGTGGTGAACAAATCGGCATAAATAAGGGATATTGCAAAATATTTTTTGTCTTCCAATGAATTCCTAACCTAATTTAATTTCTCTTTGTGTATGAGTGTCTGTGTTTGTATATTTGCATGTGTTTGCCTGTCTGTACAAGTTGACCCATATCTTAGGGAACCTAGTGTCATAGTTGTAACCAAACTGAATAACATGCTTTCCTTACGACTTTCTTTGAGTATTAGTAGCAGAGCATATTCATCGGGGAGGGAATATTTTAAAATAAGGACTTTTATTTCTATTTCTTAGGTATTCCCCCATAGAAGGGAATAAAATTCGATTTCCTTATCCGTTATATCAGGAAAGAAAAAGTAAAACTAAAAGTCAGGACATGAGCATTAACCTTTTCCTTAAAAAGTTTGCACAGTTGGCATCCCATTTGCTTCTTCCAAAGTCCACACTCATAAAAAGAAATGGATCTTACATTGTTGCCTCTCAAACATTTATATTGTGTAGGCTTATATGTATGTCTTTAGAAGGCCTTTTATGTAATGACACCATTACTGCTTGTGATTATTCTGATATGATACTTTATCTGTTTTTTTTTCCTAAATATCACAAGCTATTAAATTTATTTCACGATTCACTAATAGACCACTTTGTCAATTTGGAAAACATTCTTGTTAAAGACAAATGTATCTACATCCAGAAACTTTCCATACCTTGCTTTCAAAGAGACAGCATTCTTTGCTAGCCTTCCAATTTTGACTCAGTGCAAAAGCCTTAGAAGGATCCAGTGCATAGGTCTTCATGCTTTGCTTTCACCCCAAGTGATTATCACCTTTGATTTTTCTCTTCAGCAGTAACTCACTTGGTGTACCCCTACCTCAGGTACAGCTTTTCAACTTTGCAGCAAAACTGTACTTTCCAGTTCTTTTTATATTTCAGGTACCTTACTTGTAAAAGCTCTTTTGCTCTATAACCTGGCTCAAACTTAAACTTGGATTTGAAGTTAGAAGAAATGTCAGAAGTCAAACAAGGATTCATACATGCATACATTCCTTGAGTGATTATTAATAACTGCCACGCAGTAACTTCTGGGCTGTGGTTGTAAACTGTGAGCACTACAAAATGTTTTTCCTTATTGATACTATATTATGGTAGGAAAGACATGGGATTAAAAATTTAGATAGTATGTCAGTAGTTGTGTTTTTAAATGGGTTTCATTAGTGCTTAGCAATTGGGAGCTTGGTGGACCATTTCTTGGTTTCTGTCAGTATGTAAAGTAGAAACTTGAAATGTGTCGAAAAAGATGAGAACTATCCCGAGGCTCATTAAAGTCTTTTAATCAGTCCTCAGTGTGAAATCTTAAATCTTTGAACAAAATAATTCACTATCTCTCTGAATTCTTTGTCCTTACAGGAGAGAAAAATCAAAGTAAGTTAGTAACTATTCAAGACAGAGAATCAGAAGAAGAGCTTTCTTGCTGGCAAATCTGGCAACAAATTGCAAATGACTTAACCAGGTGTCAAGACTCCATGATCAATAATTTTCAATTTCACAAACAAAGTGATTTCCCTTGCCAGGTAGGGGCAGAACTGTCTGTTCAAATTTCCAAAGATGAGAACTATACAGTAAATAAAGCAGATGGTCCCAGTGATACTGGGAATCCAGAGTTTCCTATCTTGAGAACCCAGGATTCTTGGAGGAAAACATTCCTGACTGAGTCACAGAGATTGAACAGAGATCAGCAAATTTCCATAAAAAATAAATTATGTCAATGTAAGAAGGGTGTTGATCCCATCAGTTGGATTTCACATCATGATGGTCATAGAGTACACAAAAGTGACAAGTCTTATAGACCCAATGATTACGAAAAAGACAACATGAAGATTTTGACATTTGATCAGAATAGCATGATTCACACAGGACAGAAATCTTACCAGTGTAATGAGTGTAAAAAACCCTTCAGTGATCTCTCCAGCTTTGATCTTCATCAGCAGTTACAATCAGGAGAGAAGTCTCTTACATGTGTTGAACGTGGAAAAGGCTTCTGTTACAGCCCAGTTCTTCCTGTTCATCAGAAAGTACATGTGGGAGAAAGACTTAAATGTGATGAGTGTGGTAAGGAATTCAGTCAGGGCACTCATCTGCAGACCCATCAGAAAGTCCACGTGATAGAGAAACCATACAAATGTAAGCAATGTGGGAAAGGTTTCAGTCGTAGATCAGCACTTAATGTTCATTGTAAGGTCCACACGGGAGAGAAACCTTATAATTGTGAGGAGTGTGGGAGGGCCTTCAGTCAGGCCTCTCATCTTCAGGACCATCAGAGACTCCACACTGGGGAGAAGCCATTCAAATGTGATGCATGTGGTAAGAGCTTCAGTCGGAATTCACATCTTCAATCCCATCAAAGAGTTCATACAGGAGAGAAACCATACAAATGTGAGGAGTGTGGTAAGGGCTTCATTTGTAGCTCAAATCTTTACATTCATCAGAGAGTCCATACAGGAGAAAAACCCTATAAATGTGAGAAATGTGGTAAAGGCTTTAGTCGGCCTTCAAGTCTTCAGGCCCATCAGGGAGTCCACACTGGAGAGAAGTCATACATATGTACTGTATGTGGGAAAGGCTTTACTCTGAGTTCAAATCTTCAAGCCCATCAGAGAGTCCACACTGGAGAGAAGCCATACAAATGCAGTGAGTGTGGGAAGAGCTTCAGGAGGAACTCCCATTATCAAGTTCATCTAGTGGTCCACACAGGAGAGAAACCCTACAAATGTGAGATATGTGGGAAGGGCTTCAGTCAAAGTTCCTATCTTCAAATCCATCAGAAGGCCCACAGTGTAGAGAAACCTTTTAAGTGTGAGGAATGTGGGCAGGGTTTCAATCAGAGCTCACGACTTCAGATTCACCAGCTGATCCATAAGGGTGAGAAACCGTACAAATGTGAAGAGTGTGGCAAGGGATTTAGTCGTAGAGCAGATCTTAAAATTCACTGTAGGATCCACACAGGAGAGAAACCATATAATTGTGAGGAGTGTGGGAAGGTCTTCAGGCAGGCCTCAAATCTTTTGGCCCATCAGAGAGTCCACAGTGGAGAAAAACCATTCAAATGTGAAGAGTGTGGGAAGAGTTTTGGTCGGAGTGCACATCTTCAAGCCCATCAAAAAGTCCACACTGGAGAAAAGCCATACAAATGTGATGAGTGTGGGAAGGGCTTCAAGTGGAGCTTGAATCTTGACATGCATCAGAGGGTGCACACGGGAGAAAAACCATATAAATGTGGGGAGTGTGGTAAGTACTTCAGTCAGGCATCAAGTCTTCAACTTCATCAGAGTGTCCACACAGGAGAGAAACCATACAAATGTGATATGTGTGGTAAAGTCTTCAGTCGGTCTTCACAACTACAATCTCATCAGAGAGTTCACACTGGGGAAAAACCTTATAAATGTGAGATATGTGGTAAGAGCTTCAGTTGGAGATCGAATCTTACAATTCATCACAGAATCCATGTTGGTGATAAATCCTATAAAAATAATAGGGGTGGTAAGAGCATCAGAGAATCCACACAGGAAAAAAAATCCATAAAATGATTATTTGTGAAGACTCGTGTCATTTGAATTCTTCCAATTATCAAGTCTCAAAAAATTACTAAAGTCAGTGTTTCAGCCATAGCTTCTCTTGTCCCAGTGGTTCAAAGACAACAAAACAATCTTTATGATTAGCATAGCTAGGGCTTTAGTCAGAACCTTGACCTTTATAAAATGTTACTTAGAAGAGGGGTGTTAGAGTAAGATTTTTCTCAGGCCTTTTACAATATGGTGGACATGCCAAAATTAAGTGTCCACTAGAATGTTAACTCTATAAAGGCAGAGACTTTGTTCACTACTGAATCTGCATAATCTTACCATTGCCATATACTTCTCAATATTTGTTAATAGGAAACATTTTTCAAAATTATGTTGAGATCACCTCCAGAATATCTTGAATTTGTAAACAGGAAACCTGAAAGTAGCCTTAATAAGATTAAGTCAGAGACAATTGAAATGTAGAAAACCACTCAATACCGAACTCTCCAATGTTAATTTGATATTATCTTGTGATTAGATCCTGTCCTCCTTTAGCCTCACTAATCAAGTTGAGTACTATCTTCCCAGACGTCTAGTTTTCTACTGGTTTTATGTAGTATAGATTCAAGTATCTTTTGTAAGAGATAACTTTGTTCATCTTGTAATAACTGGACGCTACGTACTACACTTATTTTTTCAACACTGTTAAGGCAGGGGTTTAAGTGTCAGAGTTGCTAATGACAAACATTTTTTAGTAGATGTTGAATTTATCATTGGTTTTTCTACATTTTCATTCAGGCCTTGACATGATTGCCTTCTAAGGGCTTTAGCGTTACTTTAATCAGAACTTAGTTTGAGGCTATTGCAGATTTCTTTTGTCAACTTCTCCCATATTCTGAGAAAAAGGACAAAATATTTAACATTTGATAAATTTCATCCAAAATCGATTTTTGGAACGTGACTGACTTTTACCTTTTCCTAGTGGTGGCGGTGAAAAAAATGCTTTTGGAAGAGAAGTTAGTATGTATCAATATAGAATGTGCATCTCTTTTTTCTGGAATTTCATAGAATAGGAATTTTTGATTAGGAGATTCAAATAGAAAATGTGAGTAGCACATCAGTGTGTTGCTGAATTTTGTAAAAATAGAAATAATTTTTTATATACTATAGTAAAAAGAATCCTTGAAAATGATGGCCACATTTTATGACAGAAAAGTGTAATGGTTTAGTTTAAGAACATCACGGGCCGGGTGTGGTGGCTCATGCCTATAATCCCTGTACTTTGGGAGGCCAAGGTGAGTTAATGACCTAAGGTCAGGAGTTCGAGACCAACCTGGCCAACATGGTGAAACTCTGTCTCTACTAAAAATACAAAAGGTAGCTGGGTGTGGTGGTGCATGCCTGTAATCCCAGGGACTTGGGGTGCTGAGGCAGGAGAATTGCTTGAACCTGGGAGGCGGAAGTTGCAGTGAGTCGAGATGTTGCCACTGCACTCTAGCCTGGGCAATAGAGTGAGACTCAGTCTTAAAAAAAAAAATCACATACCTTAAATTCGTGTGTGTCCATGTGAGTGAATAGTGCATCTAATGATGTGACAGTCTATCCTATGCCCCCACAGCATCGAAGAGAATGCAGGAATTCTTTTCACATTTAACTTCTATATTTTAATTTTTTCACTGAGCATCGGTTTTATAGTAAAATACTGTTAGTTTATAGTAACATAGTAAAACTAAAATATAATTTGAAAAATTACTAGAAGATATTAATCCCTTACAGTTAAGAAATCTTGTGTCATCATATAGTATATAAGGCCAAAATTAAAGAATGGAACTCTGGAAATCAATTATAAACACTTGTTCAAAGATACAGATGCATTGGTGAGAGTGAATATATATTTGCAATGAATGCATTTGAACCTTCTTACGTACAGATCTGTGCAATCAATACGGTTTTAGTGTAATTCCAGTAGTAGGAATGTTGCTTAGTTCTTGACAGACTTACTCACTGGCTGAATGGATAGATAACGCAGGGCACTGGCTTGTCTTTTTAAGTGCTTGGTCTGATGGGGGGAAATAGCTGGGCCTTTCTAGGTACTGTATGGCAAGGAAAATCGAGTTGTGGAAAAAAGAAATAATAAAATTTACAAAGAGGCCAGGTGCGGTTGCTCGCGCCTGTAATCCTAGCACTTTGGATGGCCGAGGCAGGTGGATCACCTGAGGTCACGAGTTTAGAGCCCAGCCAGGCCAACATGGTGAAACCCCATCACTCTTTAAAAAAAAAAAAAAAAAAAAAAATAGGTGAGGTGACAGGCGCCTGTAATTCCAGCTACTCAGGAGTCTGAGGCAGAAGAATCATTTGAACCCAGGAGGCAGAGGTTGCAGTGAGCTGAGATCGCGCCACTGCACTCTACCTGGGGTGACAGGGTGAGACTGTCTCAAGAAAAAAAAAATTCTGAAGATACGGAGTGGAAGTACATAAACTTTGAGGTAAAATTTAATAAAGATTCCCTGAGGAAAAGATGTGCGTAGGGAGAGAACAGCATGATGCCAGTGAAAACAAACCATGGGAACAGGCAGTTAAACAGGATTTAATACCATTTCTTTCTTAGGCATTTCTGTGACATTTAAAGCTTATTTGGTTAAAGGCTTTACTCAGCAAAGGATATATCTTTATCAGGTTTCCACAGTTTTCTCTACTTGGATTACAATTCCTGTTGTTCCTGGACTGCAACTTCACATGCTAAGTATGTAAAGTCCATGATACCTCAAATTGTGTTAGATATCAGAAATCCTGAGTCTTCCATGTTTAGTTTGCTCTTAGATATCAGGATAGCCCACCAACTCTCAGTAGTTTAGTGGGTTAAGTCAGGGGTGAAAAAACTACCCGCTGTGGGCCAATCCAGCCCACTCCCTTAAAGGTTTATTAGAATATAGCAAGGCCTATGTTTTAATGTATTATCTATGCTTGCTTGCTGCAGTGTCAGAATTTAGTAGTTGTGACAAAAACTATGGACCACAAAATCTAAAATATGTACTTTCTGGCCCTTTACAGAAAAAAATTTACCAACTCTTATGTTAAACCAAAATGATTTGTCTCCCATAACTTAAAAGACCCCAGGTAGAGCAGGACTTAGACCTGCTTCGGTCAGGATTCCAAAATGATTTTCTTTTGATTTTCATATCTACCCTTCTGGTTAACCCTGGTCTTTAGGTTCAAGATGGGGCTAGCAACCAGGGAGCACCTATCTTTTCTTTTCACAGTCAGTGGAAGGGAGGTGCTGTTTCATTTGTAGTGTTGGGTAGTTTACTACTCACCATGTTTGTGGCTCCACTGGCCTTGATTCTCATTACACTCAAGATTAGACAGCTAGTTGTGTATTCAGTTCTTTCAGCCTTTTGACTGAGCTATTAAGTTTCAACTCAGTCAGGTGCAGTGGCTCACACCTTTAATCCCAGCACTTTGGGAGGCCGAGGTGAGAGGATCTCTTGAGCTCAGGGGTTCAAGATTAGCCTGGGCAATATAGTGAGACCCTGTCTCTCCAAAAAAAGTTTTAAAACTTAGCTAGCCATGGAGGCACACGTGTGGTTCCAGGTACTCAGGAAGCTGAGGTAGAAGGATCACTTGAGCCCAGGAGGCCAAGGCTGCAGTGAGCCATGGTCCCAACACTGCACTGCAGCCTGGTGACAGAGTGAGACCCTGTCTCAAGAAAAAAAAAAGTTTCATTTCTCCCATGCCACCTTGGACTCAACTTCCCTATTTTGAGCCTCCAGGAGATTTTTCAATCTTAGCTCTTAGGTTGGCTGCATATTAACATTTTGGAGAATTTGTTATATATTATCAGGATTCCTTTGTTTTTGAGAAAGAGGGATGCAAAGCCAAAATCGGTGGATGTGTTGAATGACAACACATTTAATTCACAACCTTTAGGGTGTCTTATGTCACAAAGCATCAAGGGGAAGGAATGAAATCCTGAAAAATTTGGAAACAAATGAGCAGATTCCAACAAAGTTGAGGATTTTGCTCAATCTAGCTGAGCCTTGCTTGCCGTTAGAAGGAGCCCTTCTTCCTCTCTTTGAGGTCAGTCTCCCTTGCCTGAAAAGCCTGTGATGACCTTCCCTGAGATGGTTTCCTTGCGAAAAACTTTAGATCCTCAAGACTTGCTTCCATTACCTCTCATTTTTCTAGACCAATAATGAAACTCAGGTCCTCACAGACAATGGGGGGAGTCACCAAGTAGAAAATATGACCATGAGGAGATACATTGCCAAAATATGGATTTTTGTAATTTATATCAATAGAAACCTGAGAAATCGTTGTAGAGCTCACGGGTATTGAATCAGGTGGAAATAATATAGTGATGGATTAGGCTGGATCTGCTGATATGGGTGCAGTGAACAGTGATTCCAGACCCACTGTTAGTTTGAGCATCTGGGAATAGTTTCAACAGTTTTCTCAGTTGTGTGAAACCTGGATGCAAAAACATTAGCCTACCCTAAAGTAAAAAAAAAAGCCAGAACTTTGTAAGTATGTTATAGAATTTCTGGACCTCGGCACAACTGACATTTTGAACTGGATAGGTCTGTTCTTAGGGGATGCTCTATGCATTGTAGGATGTTTAGCAGCATCCTTGCTCTCTAGCCACTAGATGCCAGTAGTGCATGCGCGCGCACACACACACACCCCTCTCAGTTATAACAAGCAAAAATGTCTCCAGACACTGCCAGACATCAGTGCGGGGGTTTGGAAATTGTCCCCAACTGAGAACCAGTGTTATAGAACATATTCAGAGACATAGGAATGCCAGAATGCTGGAGTGGATTTATGTAAAGCCTTACTCAACCCTTGTACTCTGGGAAGATTCGGAAGACACTCTTTGCCAAGGACTTGAGAAATTCATTGGCGAGAGGAGCATCGGCAGTTCAGGAGAACTCTGTAGTAACTCTTCTCGGCACACCGGGAATGAGAGAGGAAAATTGTGACATTGAAATGGGCCTAAAAAAAAAAAAATTCAATGAGGATGATGGGATCCTGGAGC